CTCCAAGTGATTTTCTTGTCAAGTCTCCAGTGTTGCTCCCTCAAGAATGAATGAATTTAAAGACTGAAAAATTAGACCAGATCACTTTAGCATATGATTCTTGGATTCCTAACCGGTCACAAGTTTTCTCATAACCAGCGTCATCACAGATAAAACTTCTTTCCTCCTGAACCTTCTCCCAGATAAAGTGCAGAGGTATCTCCAGGGCAAGAAGCTGACTTAGTCCAGACGCCTTCTCCAACAGATTGCGCCTTCTATCATCTCTATTCTCCTACTTTTCCCTGTCTGCTGGTCGCTTCTCTACTGTCTGTAAACATGCCCCTATCTTTGCCGTTGGCAAAAACCCCTCATTTTATCCATGCATCTCCATTAACTGTTATCCTGCATCTCTCCTTTTTGTGGCAAACCTAGAGCAGGCTGTCTCTGCTTCCTTTTTTCTTACTCTCTGGCTTCTGATCTCATCCTTCAACTGACACTGTCCTCTCTTAAATTTCCAATGTTTATTTAGTGGCCAAATCCAGTGGCCTTTTTTTCTCTGTCTTCATTCTTCCTGACCTCTGCTCTCTACAGCCTTTGACCCTGTTGATCACCTTCTTCCCCTTCATGCCCTCTTCTCTCTCTGTTCATGGGGTAATACCGTCTCTTGGTTCTCCTTTGACCTCTCTGACAGCTTCCTCTAGGTCTCTTTTGCTGGATCTTTACCCTGGCCACACTTGCTACCTGTGGGCGTCCCACAGGGCTTCGACACAGTATCCTGGCAGCCTCTTAATGGGTCTCCGGTTTCTGACCTCTCCCTTCTTCAATTCATTGTCCACATAGTTGGCAGATTGCTAATACGCAGCCGTGAGTCCATCTGCTGGAGAAGCTTCAGGCTCCCTGTTTCCTCTACATAAATACCAATTCCTTTAATTGATCTTTCCAGACTGATGTTGCATGATTTCCCCTTGTGCATCTTGAGTTCGTCCCTTCTCTGTCAGGAAATGAGCACCGTTCTTCGTCGTCAGTCCTCCGGAGATGTGGTTGATCAGACTTCATAAGGCTTCCAAAATTGTTCACTTTTACAGTGTGGTTGTTAAGGGAATAAATTGTTCTCTGGGATGCAGATCAGATTTGCAGATGAGACCAAGCCAGTGTGGGAGATGACAGTCAAGATTCAAAAAGATTTGGACAGGTTAGGACAGTGGGTCAGATCCACTTAGGTGAGACTTAAGGAGATGAATTAGAAAATCCTGTACTTGGGGCCATGCAAGGATGGGTTGGATGCACTCAGCAGAGTTGTTTAGCCTGAAAAAGAGATGACTCGGGGAGAAAAGAAAATGTGCCAGCAATCTGGAGGACTGGCCTCTGGAAGAAGAGGTGGGCAAGCTTTGCTTGGCCCAAGGGATCAAAAGTGGGGGCAGTGAGATGCTGCCAGGAGACAGATTCAGAAGCTATTCCGAAATCACAGCGCTGGGCATACATCGGGAGCTTCATAAATGCTTATTAGTTGAAAGTTTTCACTTGTTCTCTCCATTGTAGAAGATCTTGGTCCTTTGGTCAGAGATTCTGTGAATCTGCTTTCTAGGAAGGAGGACTCTTTGCTTCCTTCTCTTTTATCCCTTTCTCCTATGGCCTAAAAGCAAAAAGCCTTCGAACTTTTCTGCAGACTTCCTTCCTGTGGCCCTGATGTCGATTGGGATGCTGTAACAATATATGTTACTTTCTGATTTTGCTTTTTTCTTGAGGGATCAAAAAATTGCTGTGCCATGTATTTGTGAGAATAGGATCCAGCCTCTGCTAGGCCCCATGATGTAGTGGGTAGAGCACTGTACGGAAAGTCAAGTCAGGAAGATCTAGACGAGAATCCTTCCTCTCCCATTTACTGGCTGTGTGACCATGGGCAAATGACTTCATTTCTCAGAACCTCCGTTTTTCTCATCTGTGCAATGAGGGTACCCATTTTCTATCAGAACCTCTTTTTTCCAACCCTACATCAGGGATATTTGGTGTGAATCTTAAATGTAGTGTTATATTTCACCAACTCTAAAAAAAAAAGGATTTTTTTTTATTAAAGAAGAAAAATTATAAGCATCTGAAAAGTGGTTAGAACTCAGCCAGAAATAGAAAGTAAAATAACTGTGAGATAACACCGTAAGCCATTAAAATAAAAAACAATAAAATGCATTTGGGGCAGACTGGGAGGCGGGCAGATTTCTTCTGCCAGGAGAGCTATGAATTGGAATAATCTTTTTGGAAAGCGAAGTGAGAATGTGTAGGAAGAACTTGAGTATTATTTTCACCTTTGTCCCAGGATATTACTTTTGGACTATTCCATAACTGTGTTACTAAAGGGAAGAAAAGACATGCCTGTGTAAGTATTCCCAACAGGAGTATTTGTGGTAGTTTTTGTTACATTTCCTAGCTGTCTAACCTCGGTCATCTCTCTCTAAGCCTCGGCTTCTCCCTGTGAAATGAAGGGCATAGGACTATTGCATTTGTCAGCCATTATGTAAGAGTAGATGAGGTTGAGGTGGGGGAAGGGCACCATCCTTTGTTAGGAGTTGAGTCTGGTGCTTTACTGCAGATCTCTGGTCTGTTCTTGGACACAGGACCCTTTCCAGAGCACAGCTACGGTCACATGAGCCTCTCACCCTAAAACCTTCACAAGCTCCCCATTGCTTGTGGAATATAGTGTACCCTCCTGGTCCTGGTGTACAGACCCTTCCGTGGTCTGGTGGCACCTGGCTTTTGCCTTTGTTTTCCCACATTGCTTTCTGTGGACTCGGTAAGATACCTCACTGGCCTGCCTCCTGCTCTGCCTGTTCTCAAGGCCTGGCTCCTCCATGACACTGCTGGGAATGATCTTCCGTCTTGGAACTTTTCATAGCAGGTCGTTGTTTGGATGTATCGGTTCATCTAATTAGGTCCGTGTGTAGCCAGATCCTTGCTCCTCCCCTAGACCATCAGCTCTTAGAAGAGTGGGAGGGTGTCCAAGTGAACAACCTTAGACCCTGAATACAACTGACACAATCAGATGCCGAAGAACTCTGCTGTCTTTCATGACCCTCACCGAGCGTAAGTGGTGCGTGCCTTTGGATTTGTTCTGGTTTAGACAGAGATCTGAAAGTCTCATCCTGGTTTAACCCTGCCCGGTTGGTCAGGTGAACACAGCAAATCTTGGGACCTCTTTGGGCTGGGAATCTACAAATGAGTGATTCCTCAGGGCCCTTCCTTTCCCCACATTCTCTATTGTTGTCGTATGTCCATGTGGAATCACTGAACTCCAAGGATCTGACAGGGCAGTGGTACCTGGGGGAGGAGGGTTGGGGTATTGGTTTCCAGGTTGATTTTAGCTACTTGTGGTTTGGGCAGCACATGAGAGTTGTGGGCACAGACCAGAAGGTGGGAGGTGTTACAGATGATAGGTTGTTTTTTCGCACGTGTACTTGACGATCTTTTATGGCAGGAGAAGTATTGGTGCTCTTTGGGGTTCATTTCAGCCACTTGGTACCATCTTCTCTGATGGCTACTCCCCCATCCAGGCATAATGCTTAAGGAATGGCTGTAATGGGGTCATATGGGAGAACATATGTAGGAGAAAAAGAAGAGCTGTGCAGTCTCCTTTTTTCCAGGTTGACTTAATTCTGTCCTTTTGGCAGAGGCAAAACACCTTCCACCTGGAGAAGGCTGCTTTTGTTCCATACGGCTAGCTCTTCGGCCAGCCAGGGTGGGGAGAGTCAAGTCAGGCAGCCTGCCCGCTAATCCTGACGCTGCCATTTGTCCCCTGGTGGTGTTTGCTCCTGGCTGTCCTCTAGTCATCCTGCAGATTAATCACACTCAAGCATCAGTCCTTCCACTTCATCTCCCTCTTCAGTAAACCTGAGTGGCTTCCTTCGCTGCCTCCAGGGTCAAATCAAAAGCCTTCATCTTCCACCCCCACCCCCACGGCCCTGGAATCCAGTGACCCCACTTGGTCCAGCATCTCTGGGCATTCTCACTGTCTTCTTGCTAAAAGTACGTGAAATGCTCCTGCTCCTCCTCTCCACCCCCTGGCTTTCCTGGATTCTTTCAAGTCCCAGCTCAGATCTCACCTTTTGAAGGAAGCCTTTCTTGTTCCCCTTCATGTGTGGGAGGGGCCTTCTTCTTTGTCGGTCATTCCCCATTAGGCCTGTCTGTAGTTTATTAGCACATTGTCTCCCCGTTAGATCTCAAGGACAAGGACTGTCTTGACATGCCTTGTATTACCGACACCTAGCACAGTGCCTGGCACACAGTAGGTGCTTAATAAATATTTCTTGACTGACTGACATTACCACTGTAGTCTTCAGTTTTGTACCCTCAAAATGTAAGTTAGAATGATCATCTGTAAGAGCCCCCTTCAGTTCTAACATTCGGTGGGGTTTTTAAATTTTTGTTTCAAATCAAGACTAATTGATGGGGGCAGCATATATAGATACACATTGTGTAAGAGAATGGACAACAGAAGGGACCTCGGTGAATGTAGTGTCACGTTTGAGGAGACACCAGCCGTTGGTCTTGACTTGACAGTATTCAGAGACTGCCCCGTGGTCGCTGGTACCATTCTGTATGGTCCTTTAGAGATTCCCAATCAGCCATTTATTGAGAATGAATCGATCGGTACTTGTCACTAGGTCCTGAGGCTCCAGACAAAAGTAAAGCAGTCCCTGGCCCTGAGGAGCTTCCATTTTTAGTGGGGGTGATGGCATGTGCCCAGACAGGTCCGGGCTGAGCATATGCAAGGCAGCCTTGTGGGAGGCATTTCTGAGTGCCAGTGCCTGGCAGGTAGCCATTGGGCCAGATGCCCGCTGAGGTGTCCTCTGGCTCTGAGAGGCTCAGCTTCTATGCCGTCAGTTTGCCCGGGAGTGGACGATGTCTTTGGGGAGGAGAGGTGCCCCGAGTCTGCCATGTTGCAGCAGACACGACCGTGATCTTAGTGCCATGTCTGAGCTGGGAGGCGTCTCTGAGAGCAGTTCCTCATGTCCCTTCTCTGTCCCTTACAGCTCTGCATACGACAACGTCAACAAGGTCCGAGTGGCCATCAAGAAAATAAGCCCCTTTGAGCACCAGACCTACTGCCAGCGGACACTGCGTGAGATCAAGATCCTTCTGCGCTTCCGCCATGAGAACATCATTGGCATCAATGACATCATCCGGGCCCCGGCCATCGAGCAGATGAAGGATGTGTATCCTTTGTCGGGAGACTCAAAGACCGGCGTGGGGGGGAGATCTGCTTCGCAGGGAGGGTTTACAGTTCACATGGCAGCGGAGCGGGGGCAACCACAGGCCTGGAGAGGGGCTCGACGTGTCCAGAGTCCCGTGGTCAGTGAGGAGTCAGGAGGAGAGCCGGCCCTCCTGACTCCCAGCCGTGCTCGCTTCTGACTTTGCAGCATTTCCTTTCAGTTTACCATTCTTTTTGTTGATGGTGTTGAGCTGTGTGTTGTTTTTTCATGGCTCTCTTTCATTCTGCATCAGTTCACATAGCTTTTCCCACGTCCCTCTGAATTCCCCTGGTGCTGAGAACTAGAAGTCACCCTGCACCGAGAACATCACTCTGGCTTGGGCTGGTGCAATAACCTCCTTCTTGGGCTCCTGCCTCGGTTCTTCTCCCACTCCAGTCGACCTTCCCAGGGCTGCCTAAAACTGAGGTCTCTCCCTGTCACTCCCCTCCCCAGACCTCCCCAGTGTGGCCTCTTTTGTCATTCATAGCCTCATTCCCTGCAGAGTCTGGCCTCTAGACCGTTCTCATGTGCAGCTCTTTCTTTCTCCCTTCTGGTCTCCATGCCTTTGCCGAGGTTGTTCCCCAAGCCGGGAAATCCTTCATCTTCAGGGTTCAGTTCAGGCATCACTTCTCCCTGAATCTTTTCCTGTTCCCTCCAGCTGCTATCGGGATAGCTGTTGATACGGTGAATAGAACTCAGGGCCTGGAGTCAAGAAGACCTACATCCTGCCTCAGGCACTTACTGGCTCTGTGACTCTGGACAAGTCACTTAACCTCTGGCTGCCTCAGTTTGCTCAGCTGTAAAAATGGGCATAATAATAGCACCTGTCTCCCAAGGTTGTTGTGAGGATCAGATGAGATGGTAATTGTAAAATGCTTAGCACTGGGCCTGGTACTTGATAAATGCTTATTCCCTTCCCCCAAATAAACCATAAATTCAAACACCGCCTTTCATTCACTTGTGAGGTCTCTTCCTCACCCTCTTTATCCTAGGAGAAGGCAGGAGGACTTCTTACCCACCCATAGCTGAAAACTGGACCCTCTCCAGCCTCGGGGGTCGTCTTAGCTAAGGCAGGGCCTTCTACCGAGAAGTGGTCGGGCTCACTTTGGTGATGGCCAGCTTCTGAGGGGGAGTCATCTCTTCTATGGCCATTGTATCCTGTAGAATGGGTCAGAGGTCATTCGCTTTTCCCACTCAAAGGTCCTGTAATGGGAGATTTATCTCAGTCCTTCCAAAGTGAATTGGGGTGACCATTCTGATGGGAGGCTAAGGAGTCTGAGAGAATTGACTCCTGGCAGGGAGAAAGTGACTGTAGGAAGTCTTGTAGCAAAATCGAAGAAGTCAGCTTATTTTTATTCTGACAGATTGCTTTATTTAATAAGTAATATAATTTGGGAGCAGCTTGGTGACCCAGGGGATAGAGCATTGGGCTTGGAGTCAGAAAGACCTGAGTTCAAATCCAGCCTTAGACACTTATTAGCTTTGTGACCCTGGGCAAGTCACTTAACCTCTTTTTCTCTCAATTTCCTCATCAATAAGATGGGGATAATAATAGGACCTACCTCTCAGGGTTGTTGTGAGGATAAATGAGATAGTAATTGTAAATTGCTTAACACAGTGCCTGGCACATAGCAAGCACTATATAGATGTTAGCGATTGGTGCCATTATTTCTTTATGTCTTTATTTATTTTTATTTCTATTTATTTATTTATAATTTAATGATTTAATGGTTTGTTGGTTTGTTTATTTATTTATTTATTTTTAGGATTTGAACCCAAGTATTCTTGGTTCCAAATCTAGCGTTCTCTTTATTTGTAGTTTTCAACATTCATTCCCACAAGTTTTTGAGTTCCAAATTTTCACCCCGTCTCACCCTCCCCCCACCCCAAGATGGCATGCATTCTGAATATCCTTTCCCCTAGTCTGTCCTCTCTTCTATCTCTCCCCCCTTCTCTTATCCCCTTCCATTTTCCTGTAGGGCAGGATAGACTTCTGTACCCCATTTCCTGTATTTCTTATTTCCCGATAACATGTGAAAACTTTTTTTTTAAACATATGTTTTTAAAACTTTAGGTTTCAAATTTTCTCTCTTCCTCCCTCCCCACCCACCCTCATTGAAAAGGCAAGCAACTCAATATAGGTTGTACGTGTGCAGTTATGCAAAACACTTCCATAGTAGACATGTTGTGAAAAACTATTTCCCTTAATCCTATTCTGCCCTCCCATTTATTCTATTCTTTCTTTTAACCCTGTTCCTCCTCAGAAGTATTTACTTCTGATTACACCCTTTCCAGTCTGCCCTCCTCTCTATCATCCCCCTGCTCTCTTGTCCCCTTCTCCCCCTATTTTCTTGTAGGGTAAGACAAATTTCCATACCCAATTGAATGTGTATGTTATTCCCTCCTTAAGCCAAATCCTATGAGAATAAGATTTACTCATTCCCTCTCACCTTCCCCTGCTTCCCCTCCACTGTGAGAGACTTTTCTGTTTTTTTATGAGATAATTTACCCCATTCTACCTCTCCCTTTCTTCTTCTCTGAGTATAATCCTCCCTCATCCCTTAATTTTATTCTCCAGATATGACCCCTTAATCTTCAACTCACCCTGTGCCTTCTATCTATCTATCTATCTATCTATCTATCTATCTATCTATCTATCTATCTATCTATCTATCTATCTATCTATCTGTCTATCTATCTGTCTGTCTATCTATACATACATACATACATATAATTTTTCCCCCCAACTACCCTAATACTGACAAAGGTCTCATGAGTTATAAATGTCATCTTTCCATGCAGGAATATAAACAGTTCAATCTTAATAAGTCTCTTATGATTTCTCTTTCCTGTTTACCTGTTCCACTTGAGTCTATTTGAAAGTCAAATTTTCTATTCAGCTCTGGTCTTTTCATCAGAATGCTTGAAAGTCCTCTATTTCACTGAATGACCATTTTTTCCCCTGAAGGATTATACTCAGTTTTGCTGGGTAGGTGATTCTTGGTTGTAATCCTATCTCCTTTGCCCTCCGGAATATTATATTCCATGCCCTGCGGTCCTTTAATGTAGAAGCTGCTAAATCTTGTGTTATCCTGATTGTGTTTCCACAGTACTTGAATTGTTTCCTTCTGGCAGCTTGTAATATTTTCTCCTTGACCTGGGAACTCTGGAATTTGGCTACAATATTCCTAGGAGTTTTCCTTTGGGGATCTCTTTTAGGAGGAGATCTGTGGTTTATTTCAATTTCTATTTTGCCCTCTGGTTCTAGTATATCAGGGCAGTTTTCCTTGATAATTTCTTGAAAGATGATATCTAGGCTCTTTTTTTGATCATGGCTTTCAGATAGTCCAATAATTTTTAAATTCTCTCTCCTGGATCTATTTTCCAGGTCAGTTGTTTTTCCAATGAGATATTTCACATTGTTTTCTAATTTTTCATTCTTTTGGATTTGTTTTACAGTGTCTTGATTTCTCATAAAGTCACTATTTCCAATTGCTCTATTCTAATTTTTAAGGAAGTATTTTCTTCAGTAGTCTTTTGGACTTCCTTTTCCATTTGGCCAATTTTTCTTTTTAGGGCATTTTTTTCCTCATTGGCTTTTTGGACCTCTTTTGCCATTTGGGTTAGGCTATTTTTTAAGGTGTTAATTTCTTCAGTATTTTTTGGGTCTCCTTTAGCAAGCTGTTGACTTGTTTTTCATGATTTTCTTGCATCACTCTCATTTCTCTTCCAGTTTTTCCTCTACTTCCACTTACTTGCTTCTCAAAATCCCTTTTGAGCTCTTCCAAGGCCTGGGACTGATTCATATTTTTCTTGGAGGCTTTGGATATAGGAGCTTTGACTTTGTTGTCTTTTTCTGGTTGTATATTTTGATCTTCTTTGTCACCAAAGTAAGATAATATAGTCTGACTCTTTTTGCGCTGCTTGCTCATGATTCCGGCCAATTACTTGAGTTTTAAACTCTTTGTTAAGGTAAGAGTATGCTTCCAATGTGGAGAATGTCCTGTCCCAAGCTCCAGGGGTTTGTATAGCTGTTTTCAGAGATACTTGTAGGTACCTGTAAATTTTCAGTTCTTGCAAGGTGGTGTGATAAGGGGCAAGGTGTTTACTCCTTTCCTGGCCTGTGACCACAAATATTCCTTTCTGTCCTGTAACTGTGAGGAGGGGTTCCACTCCACAGCCACTACAAGCTCTACCACACCAGTGTTCCTCCTCACCCCAGCACCACCACCCAGAACTGTGACCCAGATCCACACATGGGCAAAGCAAGAGATTCCTGCCTCAGCACTGGCAAAGAGATCCCTGCAATCCCTCTCTGATCAGCCACTGGATTCCCCCTCAGTCTGTGGGCCAGAAGCTCGGGAACAGCTGCTTCCCGCCCGCCCTCCCCCCCCCCCCCATGACCATGCTCTTGGGGAAAGAAGCTGAGACCCCGCCTTCCTTTCTCAGCACCGACAGAAACAGACTTTTCCCACTGACCTTCTAAGTTGTCTTTGGCATTAGTGGGTTGAGGAGTCTGGAAAACTCCACAGCTGCCGGTGATTCAGTCCTCCAGGTTCGCTGTGGCCTGCGCACCCATGCAGCGCTGTGCTCCCAGCCTGCCGCAATGCATCTTTCTGATCAATCATCCAGGTTGTCTTGGGCTGGAAATTTGTTTCACTCTGTCTTTTTGTGGGTTCTGCTGCTTCAGAATTTGTTTAGAGCCATTTTTTATGAGTATTTGAAGGGGTTTCGGGGAGAGCTTAAGCAAGTCACTGCTTTCACTCCACCATCTTGGCTCCGCCCCCTGGTGTTATTATTATTCCAGAAGGAAAATGTGCACATCAGAATCTTTTTGCAGACCCTCATTTGTATGAAAATGTCACAAAGGACAGCAGGGTCCTTGGACAAGATCAGGGAACCCCTTTTCAACCTACAGATTTTATTTTTTAAAAATTATTTATTTATTAGTTTTTAGTTTTCAACATTCACTCCCATAAGGTTTTGAGTTTTCAATTTTCTCTCCTTCTCCCTCCCCAAGACAGCATGCAGTCTGATATAGGGTCTGCTTACACATTCATATTAAGCATATTTTCACATTAGTCATGATATAAAGAATTAGAACTAATGGGATGAACCATGAGAAAGAAACAAAACAACAAAAGAAAAGGAGAGCAAATAGTCTGCTTCCACCTGCAGTCAGACTGCATAGTTCTTTCTCTGCATGTAGATAGGATTTTCCATCATGAGGCCTTTGGAGATGTCTGAGATCCTTGCATTGCTGAGAAGGGCTAAGTCTGTCACAGTCACTCATCACACAACGTGGCCGTTACTGTGCACAGTGTTCTCCTGGTTCTGCTCACTTCACTCAGCATCAGTTCATGTAAGTCCTTCCAGGTTTGTCTGAAGTCCCCCTGCTCATCATTTCTTATAGCTCAGTAGTATTCCATTACATTTATATACCACAGCTTGTTCAGCCATTCCCCCATTGATGGGCATCCCCTCAATTTCCAATTCTTGAGCACCACAGAAAGAGCTGCTATACATATTTTTGTACATGTGGGTCTTTTCCCCTTTTTTATGATCTCTTTGGGATACACATCTAGAAGTACTATTGCTGGGTCAAAGGGTATGCACATTTTTGTAGCCCTTTGGGCATAGTTCCAAATTGCTCTCCAAAATAGTTGGATCAGTTAACAACTCCACCAGCAATGCATTAATGTTCCAACTTTCTCACATCTTTTCCAACATTTATCATTTTCCTGTTTTGTTGTGTTATCCAATCTGATAGGTGTGGTGTGGTACCTCTGAGTTGTTTTGATTTGTATTTCTCTAATCAATAGTGATTTAGAGCATTTTTTCATACGACCATAGATAGCTTTAGTTTCTCCCTCTAGAAACTGCCTGCTCATATCCTTTGACCATTTATCAGTTGTGGAATAACTTGTATTCTTATAAATTTGATTCAGTTCTCTATATATTTTAGAAATGAGGCCTTTATCAGAGACACTGGTTGTAAAAATTGTTTCCCAGCTTTCTGCTTCTCTTCTAATCTTCATTGCATTGGCTTTGTCTGTGCAAAAACTTTTCAAATTAATGTAATCAAAATTATCCATTTTACATTTTGTAATGTTCTCTATCTCCTGTTGGGTCATGAATTCTTCTGTTCTCCATAAATCTGACAGGTAAACTATTCTTTGCTCTCCCAGTTTACTTACAGTATCAGCTTTTATATCTAAATCATGAACCCATTTTGACTTTATTTTGATATGTGGTGTGAGATTTGGGTCTATGCCTAGTTTCTGCCATGCTCTTTTCCAGTTTTCCCAGCAGTTTTTGTCAAAGAGTGGGTTCTTGTCCCAGAAGCTGGGGTCTTTGGGTTTATCAAACAGTAGATTACTATAGTCATTGACTGCTGTGTCTTGTGTACCTAACCTATTCCACTGATCCACCCCTCTATTTCTTAGCCAGGACCAAGCAGTTCTGATGATTGCTGCTTTATGATACAATTTAAGATCAGGTACAGCTAGGCCACCTTCTCTTGCATTTCTTTTAATTAGTTCCCTTAATATTCTGCACCTTTTGTCAACTTACAGATTTTATAGGAAACTAAGCACAGGGCACAAAAAAAAAAGTAGAAAGGGGCAGCTAGGTCGTGCAGTGGATAGAGCACTGGCACTGGATTCAGGAAGACCTGAGTTCAAATCCAGCCTCAGACGCATAACACTAGCTGTGTGACCCTTGGCAAGTCACTTAACCCCCATTGCCCGACAACAAGAACAAAAAGCACGGGGCGGGTAGGCCACTGACCCGGAGTCGCCCATCCCCATAAAGTTGGTTGGGAATGGAGGCTATGGATAGCTGATGACAGGTGGTCCTCCAGCCTTTGTCTGAGAGTGTCCATCGGGGTGGCTTTTGTATACCTCTGTTTGTTAAGCTTGTTTCTAAGGCTGCATGCAGCTGGACCTGAATTCAGATCTCATCTCTACCATGTACTGGTTATGTATAGGGCCCTGAGCAAGTTAGGCAACCCCTCTGGGCCACAGATTTCTTCTCAGAAAGTGTGGGGTGGGGGTGCTGCTTGTGATGATAGGGCCAGAGAATGGGTCTCCAGCACATAGTTGCAGACTCCGAAGGGCTTTCTGGTGTGGTGGGGCTTTCTTGATGTAACCTTCCCCTGGCTTTGTCCTCAGGGCTCAGGAGCACAGAGCTCATCTTGCTTTCCTGGGGCCAGTTCACTCTGCCACCCACCCCAAAGAGATGAATTCAGATATTATCGAAAGGTTCTAGGAAGTTTGTGTGATTTCATTGGGTTAGCGGTGATTTCCCCTGAAATATCATTTTAAGGAGAAGTAGAAACGTGATGGTAAAGATGGTGGCCAGCAGCTACAGCACTTTATAGTTTACAAAGCACTTGATCTGAATTTTTCCAGGTGTTCTGCACATCTGTGTGAAGGGAGCAGGACAGATATTTTCCCTGTTTTATAAATGAGCAAACTGAGGCTAGTTATGCTTTGAATCCCTTGAATAAAAGTAACCCACGTATTGAAAAGCACGCTCTGAGCTGTTCTCCTCTCCCCTTTCCTGCTCTGCCAACTCCCAGGCTGGGGAGCCCGGGGAGGAGGGCTGTCTGGCCTCATCCTCTCCCCTTTCAGACACCCTTAGCAGAGTCTGTCTGGGGCCCTTCTTTCCCCCATCCCTCGCTCCTGATCTTGTCTGATGAGTTTTATCTGTCTGCCCATAGAATGTCAGCCCCCTGAGGGAAGGGCCTGTGCCGTGGCAGTCTTTGCTTCCGCAGCCGGGTGCACAGGTGCTTTGTCAGTGACATGATTGAGCTGCCTCGATGCCATCTAGTGTCATAGTGGCTTTCCTTAGCCTCCCGGTGCAGATACATCGTCCAGGACCTCATGGAGACAGACCTTTACAAGCTCCTAAAGACACAGCACCTCAGCAATGACCACATCTGCTACTTCCTTTACCAGATCCTGCGGGGTTTGAAATACATCCACTCAGCCAACGTTCTGCACCGCGACCTCAAGCCTTCCAACCTGCTGCTCAACACCACCTGCGATCTCAAGGTCAGTGCAGGCCCTGTGACGCCTCGTGTCTTGTCTCGGTCTGTCTCTGCGTCCCTGTGCTGGGCCCAGCCTCCAGGCGGTCATAGCAGAGTGCTTTTTGGAGGGGCCGGGAAAGCTATGGGTGACTTCTCAAGACTCACTAAAGAGCAGTTGCTACTAGAATATCTAAGCAAAGAGTTACCTTCCATTTTATCTGCTCCCAGATCCTCGTGCCTTGTGGAGTCACAAAATTAGAACAAGGTTTGCACAGGTCTCATATACATACTCCTTATGTAGATACCTAAAAGTGAAAGTAGTGAGTAGCTATGTTTTCAAACCCCAAAAGCATCTGTTGGGAACATGAGGGAAACACTATATATGGGAGAGAGAAAATGAAAGTGTTTATGAAGCACTGGGCTAGGTGCCGGGGATCTAAGCAGAAAAGCCCATCAGCCCCTGCTCTCTGGAGTGCCCAGACTGAGAGGCAGAGACAGCACCTGCAAGTTAGACCCCCAGGGCCCGGGTGCAGCTCACGCATCTTCCTCGCGGCATTTCCATTGGTGAAATCTGACACCAAACCGTGGAGAGCCCCAAGGGCTTTGTGTTCGGGGCCCTGCAAGGTGCATGGGAGATCATGGTTCTGTGAGGGGTGATAGGAATGTGTGTGTGCATGTGGCGCGCGCTGTGTGTGTGTGAGAGTGATGGTGTATCTGTTTCTCACACACACACACACACACAGAGTAAAACAGGCACACTGCCCTTGTGCTTTTGAGAAATGCTTGCAGCTAGGTGGCACAGTGGATAGAGCACTGGCTCTGGAGTCAGGAGGACCTGAGTTCAAATCCAGCCTCAGACACTTGACATTTACTAGCTGTGTGACCCTGGGCAAGTCGCTTAACCCTGATTGCCTCACTAAAAAAAAAAAGCAAAACTAAATAAATAAATAAAATGAAAGAGAAACTCTTAGTATTGTGACTGTGAGTTACTGTTAGTACAAGTATCATAGATCTCATATATTGCTGAAAAGACATTTAGCCTGTAAGATGATCGCTTTTGTGTCCAGGCTTCTTCCTTGGCTGGTTCTTCTCTGAGGGTTCCTGTCTAGCAGCTTCGGGCGCCTGCTCACCTGTCTCTGAAGATCCTGGTTACTTTTGGTCCTTTGGCCTTGCAGAGTGGCCATCACCCTGGCCATGGCTGCTGTAGCAGCATCTACTCGGTCCTTTGAAGCCACCTGTGGCCAGCACATCCTCCCCAAAGAGCCTTATTTTCGGGTAGGACTTAGTGTCCTGTTGCTTTGGTCCACTTCTTTCCCCTGCAGATGTCCTTGCAGAGTTGCCCCCCTCGCCTCCCGCTCTTCCCACCCAGGGCAGTCCCACTCCGATGGCCTTGGCTGTTGGCTTGGCACCGGTGGCAGGAGCCCCACCATGCGACTCTCTCTGTGGTGCCTTCTCCTCTGCCCACTGCCCCTTGCCATTGGTGACAGCATCTTTCCAATGCCATGCTGTCACAGAAGCCAGCTGGATAGAGCATGTCCCCACCCGCAGTGGATGAGACAGGACTGGAAGCCTCCACCCTGCCGGAATTAGCCCTGGTCCACATGCTTATGTTTGATATTGGGGAAACCCATTCTTGACCCCAGTGTTGCTGTTTATTCCATATTAGGCCTATGCTGTTGAAAGTAATGAGTCCTCTTAATCACCATAGCATTTAATAGAGGTAGAAAGAAAGATGGCTGGATGATGCACACAGATAAGCCAACTGTCAAACCAGAATTTTGCTGCCCACGTGGTGTTGAGGCGCCTTTGGTGTTTCTAAGATGGGCTGGAGTAGGCAAGCTTACGGCCTCATCAGCCAGGTGCTCTTGAGCTGACGTAGCTCTCTCCAACGGTCTTTGCTGGGAATGCCTGCTCCACCGTCCGGGGCTCTGGCTCCCTCGCTTGGGGAGGTGCAGTCAGCTTTGGATCAGTTGGGTTTTTAGGCCAGGCATCACACAGGCCAGTGACTGCTGCCTGGGCAGCCATTCCAGGCTGTCATGGAGTTGAGTTTGACAGTTTTCTTGAATTCCAGGCCTTGTGGAAGATGCTTCCGAGTTCACTGGCTTGCTGATTAGCCCATGCACTGGCAAACCTCCCAGTGACAGGTCACGGCCAGTCATTTGGAAGGTCCGCGGGATAAATGGCTGGATAGCGTGTCCCCCATCGAATGTTAGAAGAATAGAAGCAACAGGTCTGGGATAAGCCTGGGGGTGCTGCAGAAACTGTTACTCTATCTCCCGGGTGTAACGGCAGCTTTTTGTGCAGAACAGTCCTGTAAGTGCTGGGGAGGACGTCTTCTCTCCTCCCTGAGCTCAGAGGATGCAGGCACAGACAGTGACAATTCCGACTAAGGTCTGTGGTTGGGGCATCTGGACATGACTTGTGGAGGAGGAAGAATTCAGCAGGCAGAGCAAGGGGACGGGAAGGATGTCCTAGGGGGAGGTGATGGTGCCCCCAGAGGCCATGGTGACATGTAGTGCACGAGGGGTAGAGCATAGACTGTGTGGTTAGGTATAATGGTATGGACAGAGGCTGGGAATGTGGGCTGGGGTCAGATTGTGCAGAACCTGGAACGCCAGACAGAAAACCCGAGCAAGACTGCTGGAGAAGCTAGATTTCAGTAAAACTGGCAGGCCACATGACCTAGTGCCTCCCCCGGGCCCCCGTCCTGTCCTTCCATGATATTGGCCAGTTTTAGTGAGTGTCAGACGTTATCTGCAGGGGGGGAGGGGGTAGTTTTCTTCAGGCCTTTGAAGGACCGGCCTGTTGAAGGGCAGTTGGGTTCGTTCTTGGCCCCAAAGGGCAGGACAAGGAGCAGGCTGCAAGGTGAAAGTCATAGATTGGCATATTCAGCTCAACAGGAAGTGAAACTGTCCCTGAGTCACATGGTGGGCTGTGTGTGCGCCATACCCCTGGACGCCTCTAGGTGGAGCCTGGAGAAGAGTTCCCTGGGAATGCTTAGTACGGCTTTCCTAGTGACTTGGGAGAGTTTTTTCTTCTCTGAGATTCTGTGTAACTGTGGATTGGAAATAAGGAATCCTGTGGCCCTGGTGGTGTTCATGCAGAGGCTGGAGGCCATTTCTTTTTGGGGTTGTAGTGGGCTTTCCTGCTTCAGAGAAAGGTTGGACAATGTGACCTCTGAGTTAAGGTTCTGTGATGCTCTGAATGTCCTGAATACTCTCACAATTTCTAAATGGTCTCTTCTCCCCAGTGAAAACTCTTCTAGGACTAGAAGTCATTTAGCAAAGCTCTTTCAGTCTGTGTCTTCCTCCACCAAGATCACGTATCTCTGAAGAACTGAAGAAAGTCAGACAAGGATATTGGATGTAATGACCTCCACGTGTTCTTTGCATTCCGTGATTTTAGAGAAAGAATGGCACCGATGGTAGCTAAAGCTGTGCCCACGTCGATGCCCAGAAGCATCTGTAGCTGTTCACCATAGCCTTTAAATCAGTCAGCCGGTATTTATTAAGCACCTACCACGTGCAGGCATTGTGCTAAACACATGAGATACAAAGACAAGCAGAATAGCCTGTGTCCTCAAGGAGCTTCCGTTCTTTGGGGGACAACTAACACGTGCATACATAAATAGACCTAAAAGACATCCAAAGTCCATACAGGTTAATTTTGGGGTTGGAAGGAACTGACAGCTAGGGGACCAGAAAGAGCCTCATATACAGCATAGCTCTTCAGTGAAGGAGTTTGGGAGTCTAAGAGTTGGTGGTGAGGACAGAGTATACTTTAAGCATGAGGGACAGTTGAGATGGGGTGGGGGGGAAATCTGAGAAAAAATCTAATTAAATACCCCACCCCCACCCAAGAACACGAACAGGCCTTGGCCTATCTGCTTCATTTCCCGTCTGCATAAATGGTTTTTGAAAGTCATGCACATGCTCATCAAAGGTGCTCAAGGGGGAGACGGAGGAGTGTGTGTATGGAGGACTGTGGTTGGCAGGAAGATGATGAAATGCCTGCGTGGATGGCAGGAGGGGATGGGAAGCTCAAGAATGGGCTGGTGTCTAGGTCCGCTCATTACACAATTTTCACCCAGTTGGCCACCAGTCATCTGCTTTGCGTCCCAAGGCAGGAGCTCCAGTGGTCAGTGGCTTTACTTCCCCGGGGCTTGGGTGTGGATTCCGGAAAGGCCAGGGCTCTGATCTGGTGTCAGTGGGGAATTGCAGGCCAGTAGCGGCAGGAAGATGCTGAGATGATGGCCTGGATGGATATGAAGCTGAAACACAGTCTACTTTCGGTAGGTGTGGGTTGAACTATGTGATCTTTGTAGGCTTTTCCAACTCAAAAGATTCTTCTAAATGGGGATGGGCCCTTCTAATCAATCCTCCCACTTTGTGTGCCCAGCAGTGGTTCACATACCTCAGAGGCCATCTTGGCATCTGGGCCAATTCAGGCTCTTCACCTCCCGCAGTGCCAGTCTGTTAACTAACAGAAGAGAATACGTTGTTGCCATCTTAAAAATCTCTCCTTGGCCTTAGTGCATTTCCCCTTGTGTCATCCTGTCTCCATCTGTGTTACAGTCTCTCTTAGTTGCCACCTCCTTGACGGTCAAGGCTATGTTATATTCTTCCTCTGTGTATCATCTGTGTATTCACTTCGAGAGTGTATCTCCTGGCACTTCTTAGGCTCTTCAGCCTGTTGAATGGAGCTGAATTGAATGTCTTTGGGGCTTCCCTCCATGCAGGGTTGAGCCCAGCTCCAGCCTTCAGGTGAGTGAGCTCACCTTGCTTTTCTTCTCCTCCCCCTTTTCTTTCCCTCGTGGGTGGAGCTGGGCACCAATGCGCTTTCTCATTTTGAGGAGGTATTCATCTGAATTTGTTTGGGCGTGCCAAATACATTTGGCAGCTGGAGGTGTGGTTGTGTTCACTATGAAACAGATCATGTGGGAGTGCCATTGATAAGTATGGGCGGGAGAGGTGAAAATTTGTGCAGGCCTGTATCCAAGGTTTCTCCTTCTTATGCTTGTGTTTTGATGAATACTGTAATTTAAATGGATTTGCTTTTGGTTTAAAAAATATATATATACACACACAGATGTACTCCAACCGTTAGAATTGTGTGGGTTTTTTCCCCTCTTTTTTTTTTAGCTTTAAAACTTCTCTTAACACTGGGTGTATCAAAAAGAAAAACTGGGTTTGTCATCGTGATTATTGTAAAATTATATCCTGATGAACTTCTGCAGAAGAATTGAAGAATTATCTATTTCTCTTTCAAGCAATTGTTTTTAAAGAAAATATATTATGGCTTAATTATTCCCAAATGTATAGAAATAAAGCTTATTAAATTTTCTTTTTCCCTTATTTTTAATTAATTTTTTTGTTATAAAGCATTTTTTTTCCTCCAACCCCCCCCCCAAAAAAGGGAAAAAAACCCCTCGTAATAAATGAGCACAGTTGAGCGAAAACAGATGGGCTGTGTTCAATGATGAGTCTCGTTGTGCATGTGAGTCCGTCATTGCTCAGTCAGGTGGGAGCTCCATCATCGGCTTCTGGAGTCACGGCCCATCATTGCGCTGACCAGAGGTCTGCAGTCTTTCAGAATTATTTGTTTTTACAATATTAATGTTACAATAGAAATTGTTTTCCTGATCTGGTCGCTTCGCACTGCCTTAGATCATATGAGTTTTCTCAAAATCTTCTCTTTCTTCATTTCGATCAGTCAATCAAAAAAAATATTAAGCTGCAAGTATGTGCCATGTACTGTGTTAAGTGCTACAGCACAATTTCATTCCATTAATATACGTAAATTGTTTTGCCATTCCCCAGTTGTGGCACCTCCCCTCCCCCCCTTAGTTTCTGGTTCTTTGACACCAAAGTGAACTGCTATAAACATTTTTGTAGCTAAAGGTCCATTGGCTCTTTCTTTGCTGTCTTTGGGATGTAGACTTAGTAGTGATCTCTCTGTGTGGCTCCAGCTGGACTTTGTTATTTTTGTAAAATTCTGCGAAGCAGTCTTTAGGTAGTTTAGTATAGAAGTAAATAAGGAAATTAAGCAGGATTGTCATTTTTATGCTGTTGGCCTGGCCCAGCCATGAACAATTCATATTCCTCTACTTATTTAGGTCTATTTGTATTTGTATAAAGAGTATTTTATACTTGTATTCATATAGCTCCTGTGTGTACCTTGGTTGGCAGGCTCCTAAGTATTTATACGTTCTCTAGTTATTGAAGTGGAATTTCTTTTTTTAATCTCTTCTTGCTGGATTTTTACTGGTAATGTATATAAATGCTGATGATTTTTATGGATTTACTTTATAGTCTGCAACTTGACTGAAATTGTTTCAATTAATTTTTATTTGATTCTTTTGAGTTTTCCAAATATACCATTTGAAAAAAAACATAGAATTTTATTCCTTTTCTGATTCATGTTCATAGCATTTCTTTTTCTTGTCTTATTCCAGTGCCACCATTTCTAGCATTCTGTCCAATAGAAATGGTGACAGTGGACATCCTTACTGCTGCCTTAGTCTTAGATATATACTGTTCACCATGTTAAGGAGAGGTACATTTGTTTTTATGTTTTCTAATGTTTGTAATAGAAATGAGTGTTTGCCTTTACTGATGTAATCACAGTTGTTGTCATCAATGTAGTCCTTTATGTTAATAATTTTCCCAGTATTGAGTCAACCCTGTGTTCTTGGTAGAAATACGACATGGTCATAGGGTATCACACTTTGTGATACCTCTTCATCAGTATTGTATTTTAAGCTTTAGTATCAGTGTGCATTAATATTGGTCTGTGGTGTTCTTTGTTTTGATTCTCCCCGTTTAGGGTACCAAGACCGTATTTGTATTATCCAAAGAGTTTGGCACAATCCTTTTCCTATTTTTGCACAGTTTGTATAATTTTTGGAATTGTTTTTTGAATATTTTATAGAATTTGCATATTAATCCAAGGGTTTTTTTTGGGGGGGGGGAACTAATTTATGTCTTGTTTGATTTTTTTTTCTGAGATTAGATTTTAAAATGATTTAATTCAATCCATCTGGATATTTTATATTTTTGTAAATACTGATACATTTCATTTAACTTACTGACATATAGTTGAACAAAATAGATTCTAATGATATTCTTCATTTCTTCTTTTGTTTCTTGGGATTTCACCTTTTTCATTTTTGAAACTGATTTTCATTTAATTTTCCAGAGGAAATATGAAGTCTCCCAGTGGTGGGGACTCCATCCAGATTGTATGTTCCGAGATCATTAGTGTTCCATCTCACTAAATCTTACCTTTCCCTTTTCGTCAAAAGGCACTCCCCCTCCACTGAATTTTATTTAAAGAAAGTTTCTTGGAAATTGACCGTTGGGAGACACTTCACTAGTTTTCAAATGTAGCCTCTGCTTTGTTGAAGCTTGGCCATTGGCTGACTGCTTGGTGCTTTGGATTGACCATGTATGTAAGCGATTCCATTCTGTGTTCCTCAGATCTGTGACTTCGGCCTGGCTCGTGTTGCAGATCCAGACCACGACCACACAGGCTTCCTGACAGAATACGTGGCCACACGCTGGTACCGAGCACCTGAAATCATGCTGAATTCCAAGGTCAGTCCCCCATTGGGCGTCCCACTGTCACACAGGGAAAAGTCAGCTCCACAGTTAGGCTGGTCCTTACACAAGGGATACATGCCCCTCCCAAAGTTCTTTTCCATCTTTATTGGACCTGCTAAGGCTTGTGTTTCATTGGCAGAGCCTTTAAGAGCCCAGGGCCTGCCTTCACAATGCCGTCATGAGGCAGTCAGGAGGGCATTGGGAGGACATTAAGAACCAAGACATTCAGGCTCACACGGTTTCTCCCTTTCTTCAGTGCTTGATCCATGTGGCGGCCAAGCTCTCGCCTCTTCTAAGCTGTCGTCTCTCCTTCTGTTCATCAGTGGCTCTTGTTAACTTGGGGTGTAGTTGCTCCACAGGCTGTATTGGACTGACACCTCAGGATCATGGAGGATTTTCTCTCCACTCCCCAAATCTAGTGCATCGGTTGTGAGATGTTACTTAATATTTAGATATAGGTTATGTGTATTATTAGGCAAGCGTCTAGTGTGTGCTTGGCACCGTACGAAGTGCTGGCGATACAAATATAAGCAGAAAGACAGTGCGGTCCCTCGGGGAGCTTACATTCTAAAGGGAAAGTGCTTTATAGCAGACTGCCTGGCCTGTAGGACACCCTTCATAAGTGGTGATTGATTGACTTAACACATTAAAGGATTTTCTCAATCACATGGCTGTTGAAATATTGTTAACAAAATGTTTAAAAGTGAAGGTTGCAGGTGCCATGCTCAGAACACCTGCTCTGAAGTTTACTTGGTTCCTATCTTAGTTCTCCCTGCTTTACTCTGCATTTGCTTGTAGCGACCTTCCCAAGATTCTCTGAATTCTTCATATTTGTCATTTCTTAGAGTGCAGTTATGTACCATTACATTCTTACATTACAGGTTTTTCAGTGATTCCCTAACTGATGGGTATCATCAGTTTCCAGTTTTTCAGAAAATGCTGCTCTAAGTATTTTTGTATGCGTAACATAATAGCTAGCTATAGGACTTCCCTGTGGTCTAACCATCGGAGTAGCTCGCCAAGAAAAAAGGTCTGCGTGTGCAGTGTGATGTTGTACTGTGTGGTTCCAGGCTGTTTTCTAGCCCTGTTGAGTGTGTTAGGGTTCCTGCCTTTCCAGAAAGCCTCTGCTCTTAACTGCTTCATCTTGTTATCTTTACTGATCTAATGGACTGGTGGTTAGAACCTTAAAATTGGTTTAATTTACATTTCTTTTATTAATGGTTTGGAGACCTCTCTGATATGGTTGATCAGTAGTTAATGGTTCATCATTTGAGAACTCTGTTCATCCATTGCCTTTGAGCACTTACCATTCTTATGTATTCGTATCAATTCTCTATGTATCTTGAAGCAAACCTTTATCAGAGACATCAGATGTGAAGATTTCCCACCAGTTGATGGCTTTTCCTTATCCCAGCTGCATTCATGTTGTGTGTGCAAAAGCTTTGTATGTGTGTGTGTGTGTGTGTGTGTGTGTGTTGTGTGTGTAGGTGTGTGTAAGTGTAGGTAGATAGAGATTTATTATACTTGAGATTGTCTCTTATAGCTTTCATAATCACCTCTGCCTCTCCAGAGCATGTTCCAGATCCTCTGGGGGGTGGGGCAGACGACTGACTGGCTTAGAGGTGATACAGACTGGAGGAGGTGAGGGACCATCTTGGGGTCAAGGCTCTGCTCCCATGATGGTGTTTTCTTGGTATCCAGTGCTCTTCCCTATCACGCACACAGTGAAATGCGAACTACTCCGTGTGATGTGGGGTTCCCCACCCTTCCAGCTCCCCCTCTGCCTTTTCCAGCCATATTTCAAACGTAACCCTTTGTGTGCCCTCTGCTTGGCTACTGTGCAGGACAGCCTCACTGACTCTGTGCCTCCCTCGTCCAAGGACTTGGCCCGAAGGAGTTCTTAGGACTTGGCCCGAAGGAGTTCTTGGCTGGGCTCTGGCTTTCTGCGCCCTTCTCTTCCTTCAGAGCTTTGCTCTCATGCTGCCTTCCCTGGGACGCCGTCCCTCAAACACTTGTGGCCCTCCTTGCCTGCTGTACTTCTGGCCTCAGTTAGACATCTGTCCCTAGAATGGGGGCTAGTTTGGGCCTACCTCTTCACTCCATGTGGAGTGTTTGTGGGAGGCCTGAGGAAGACAAACTCTCAGGTCGTCTTGAGAAACCTCTATGGTGGAGGTTTGTGAGTAGAAGACCCAGGCCCATGTTTTAGCTTGGTCCGGTAAGTTCTTTAGCCACGGCGGGCACTTTCTGTCTGGAGGTAAGTCCTCAGCGTTGGTGCCTCCGCCCCGACCAGAGCCACAGTGCTATGTAATTGGCCGTGCTGTGGGGCCACAAAGCCCTTGGGCCTGGCCGGTGAAGCCTCGAGACTCTTCTCAGAATCAAGTGAACGGGTGAAGGAAATGCCGCACCTCCCTTTAGAGAGGAGGAGAATGAAGCTGCTGCCTGCCGTGACTGCTATTTGGCTGACGCCGTCCCGTCCTCTCCTCCTTTCTTCCAGGGTTACACCAAGTCCATTGACATCTGGTCCGTGGGCTGCATCCTGGCAGAGATGCTCTCCAACAGGCCCATTTTCCCCTGGAAAGCATTACCTTGATCAGCTGAACCACATCCTTGGTAAGATTCCATGTTTCCTCCTTTCCCAAAGCTTCAGTGCTGTAACTGGCTCCTTCCCTTAATTCTGATTTGTGGTCTAGACGTTTTTCCTTTTCCCGCGTTGATAGCTTTCACGCTGTCCGTGAAGGAGAGGGGGTGGGGATGGAGGGACGTCGCACCTCTGGGAAAGGCAGCAGGGCTCATTCCAAGGCTGGTGCACCTTCCCCATCCATCTGCGGGTGTGGCCCCACAGGTGTGTGCTGTGTGTGGTGACAGATGTTTCCTTGCTGGGGGCGGGGGGAGGGCTCTGAGTTGGGAGTGCTGGCTCTCTTGCCAGCTAGCTCGGTGACAGGCTCCTTCCCTCGCTCAACCTCAGCTTCCCCGTCTGTGAATGAGGGCATAGATGGCGGCATGGGCCAGCCCTCCTGCCCTCCTCTGACACCTCTCAGGGGCTTCTCTCTTGTAAAGTCCAAATCCTTTCTTCTGCTAGGTATTCTTGGATCCCCGTCCCAAGAAGACTTGAACTGCATAATAAACCTAAAAGCCAGGAACTACTTGCTGTCTCTTCCTCACAAAAACAAGGTGCCATGGAATCGGCTCTTCCCCAACGCTGACCCCAAAGGTACGTGCTCCTCCTGCAGTTCCACCTTCTGGCTGGCCAGAGGGGTTCTCTGTGATGGTCAGGTGCTCGGCATGTCTGTCCTGGGGACCTGGAAATGACGAATGTTGGCGAATGCTTTTAAAGCAGCCTTTGTGCCCCCTCGACTAATTAGATTGCTTCTTTGGCTCTTGTGGGGGTGGGGGGCGAGTCAGCTCTGGTTTCTCCAGTCCCTGTTCTGACAGAGCCGCCCTTCTTTCTCAGTTTTGGGGCCCAGACACAGGAATATTCACTGTTGTTGGTCAGAAGCCCACCCTTAGCCCATCTGTCTTTCCCAGCCTGTTTGCTTAGGTCTTTCATCAGACTGATGATGCACTGGGGTGGGTCTGGCTATCTTGGTCTGCTTCACAGAGGTCGTGTTTTGAATATACGGCTTCACGTGTGCATCGTCTATTACTTATGAGATTGGTGCACACCTTCCTAACTGAGTTATGTCACCTGAGCAGTTCACTAGTGAAAATACACGTGTTGCCGTGTCCGTGTTCCAGGTTGCCTGGCAAGCTCATTGTAACAGTGCAGTGAAGCAGAATTCCATTTCTGCGGCTCCAGTTTGCCCAGGCTTCGGTTGGGGTGTGCTAAGGACTCTCTTGGGTGGATAAATCTATTGCTGTCTCAGTGACAAGGAAGAACTGGTCACCAGGGTGGAACGGATGAGATCTTGATGTCAGGAAGCTCAGAGGAAGGATAAGGTGTGATAATTTTACAGTGTAGGTCAGCCCAGGCTGGAGGACAGACACCCAGGAAGGGAATTCTGAGTTTGGAAGAAGAGGGGATATTCTGAGAGGCAAAGGTGGGGCAGGAGTGCTTTGCCCAGGATGGCAGCCAGTGCGTCTCCCATGGAGAAGGCCAGACTGACCAACCTGGGCACTGTTGGAAGGGAGGGATGACACGGCCGGGTAGATTGGGGCCAGGGATGACGGTCCTTTTATGACCTAGAGTCAGACATGAATTGATGTCGAGGAGAGGAGCAGCCTGGTCAGGCCTGTGCTTGAGGGAGGTGACTGGCACAGGGCCTTGTGGCTCTGGATTCCCCACCTTCAGCCAAGTCTGAGGATTGGAGCAGCCAGGTGGGATGGCCGGTACTTTGCCCGTGTGCCCTGAGCCCAGAGCTCAGCCTTAGGAGCCAGCAGGTGTGGCCACAGTCCAGGACATTGAGGACAAGTTCGTGTCTTTGTTAAGCTCTTTTAGAGGCAGATGAGCCCAGGAGCAGATTCTTCCTGTCACATCCCCCTCTCCCCCCCCCCGCTTTTTTTTTCCACCTAAACTTGGTTCTCCTTCTAGCTCTGGATCTGTTGGATAAGATGTTGACATTTAACCCCCACAAGAGGATTGAGGTAGAGCAGGCACTGGCCCATCCCTACCTGGAGCAGTATTATGACCCAAGTGATGAGGTAAGGAGTGGGTGAGGCTCTTCCTGGGTGGGCTTCCCCAGCGGCCAGTCTGTAAAAGTTCCCTTGGGAGCTTCCTAACACGAGGGAGATTCCTGAAGAATTCTTCCACCCCACCCTACCCCACCCCACCCCACCCCAGCCAGCTTTGGAATGGCCCATCTCCTCAGTCGCCATCTTCCATCCAGTCATTCATGGACACCGTCAGCTACACTGGGAATGTTTGCTGGGGGCACTGAAGAGAGAGTACCAGGGAATGGGGGAACTGTTTGGGGAGGCCAGTGAAGTGTGTTTTTAAGAAATAACTCATTCATATAGCACTTTAAGATTTACCAAGCTCTGTACAGGGTTTTGCTTTTAAAACTGTTGACAGCCCTGTGACCTCTGCTGTGTTCTTGGCAAAGTCAAGGCCACCTACCAGGTCCCTTCTTGTGTATTCATCTAGCATGGAGAGCTGGGGGCAGTCTCGTGCCTCGATTTCCTTACCAGCCAAAGCCCCTGAAGCTTGGGCATAGAGAGTGAGTACCTGGGAAGGCAAATGTGAGGAGGGACCAGCTCTCTGGCCATCCTGAGGCTAACCACACGGTCACTGCTGACCTTCAGCAAGCGTATTTGTTAAGCTCCTACTGTGTGTCCAGACTGGGCTGAGCATTGAGGATACGAGGACAGAAATGAACAGTTCTTGTGGTCCATCAGTTCTGTGTGCTAAGTCCCCTCGTAGCTCTCTCTAACACAGTTCGGTCAGCCCACGTCACTTCCATCAAAGAGCAGTTCCCAAGAGAGCGCTGCCATGTCTTGAGCACGAACCACCCCCTAGTCTGGTCTCAGGGTTCAGAGTCCTGCCCAAGGGCACTCTTCTCTCCCCCCTCGTGGTTCCCCGTCCTTGGGGCTCCCCAGCTGATATTGACACCCTGCTCCTCAGTGGTGGTCTGCAGTAACTCTTGGGAAGTCACTTCATCCCTCTACCTGTTTCACCATCTTTAAAATGGTGGTTCTAATTCCTGTCCTTCCTGTCCCCTGAGATGAGGTGGGGGCTGTCAGTTGCCTGAGGTCACGCACGTTCCAAGCGGCAGAGGCAGGATTCCAGTTGGCCCCTCTGACTCTAAAACCATGGGTCCCGTGGTGCCACGCTGCGTGCCTTCCAGCTTGGACCCTGTATCTTCTGGGTTCGTCTGTGACAGGTGACGATCGACAAGCCTCTAGTGTGGTTGTGACGTTTGTAAGGCGCTTAGCCGACCTCAGAGCGCTGCCTAAATGTCTGCTAACAGGCTGGGGGCCCTTGCAGACCCACGTCCCAGGAGGGGATGTACTGTGGCTCCTTCAGGTGACAGTCAGACCTCTAACACTGTGTGTACTGATCCCCACGTACATGTGCCTGGCTTAGAAATGGGGTGGGTGCCAGGGTTTCTGAGGCAGTTACTTGGAATTTGAAACACATTTCCCCAAAGAAAACAATGGTTTAAATGGCGGTTAGATCCCAGAGCAGCCATAAATGCTGACTTAACCTATAATGTCTCTTAATTATAGTACTGGCGACCCGAACCATCATTTTATGACAGGGTTTCTGTGGGAAAACACATTGGAAGTTGCTTCCACCTTGGGGTGACATGCCTCCTCTGCCAGATGGTGGGAGCAGATAGTTCCCCACTTCCTGCAGAGCCAGAGTGCAGGTCTGGAGGCCAAGGGAGAGCTGGGTCACTGGGGAGGGCTCTTGGCTTGAGCAGCAGGGAGATCTATTTATGGAGCCTGGTCAGATGCCAAAGGAAGTCTTTCATTGCCTTGCTTATCTTGGGCACTCGGTAAGTATTTGGTGAAGTGAAGTGAATTGAGGCCGTGGCTCAGATATGCACAGTGACACTGGGGCAGTTTCATGGGTGACTCCTCCTGTGGCCCCATTGCTGGCGCCATTTTCTGACCATGGCCTAGACCGATGCTGTGATAGCCATGATTTCGGTTGTACTGACCGATCCCCTGAGGACCCAAACCGGCCGCTCTCTCAGAAGAGACGTGAAGCTGCTGGAACTTAGCGGCGCTCCCCAGCTGACGTAAGGTCTCCTTTCTTTTCCAAGCCTGTAGCCGAAGCCCCGTTCAAGTTTGACATGGAATTGGATGACCTGCCCAAGGAGAAGCTGAAAGAACTGATTTTTGAAGAGACCGCTCGATTCCAACCCGGATACCGATCTTAAACTCCTACAGGTAACACTGCTTCCACCGTCTCCAGGAAATCGGGGCCCCAAGGGCCGAGGAGGGGGTGGTTGGGTGATGGTGTGCCCTTCTGGGGCCCTCTGTTTTTTAAAGCATGTCCCCTCGACAACCCAATGGGACAGGGGAGACAAGGATTGCAGCCCCCAGTTTACAGGAGAGGAAGTCAGACAAGACGCTGCCAGCCCTGGTGTGGTGATTTTAAGTCACACGCTCTCTCCACTGCCAGTCCAGGCCTTTGTGGAGTCATGGTGGATTTTTCTAGCCAGAAACGTTGATCCTCTGCAGGTCACCCAAACCACTGGGTCCTGTCGGGACTGGTAGGCCCAAGCTGAAAGGCCATGATGGGCAGCAGAGTGGTTCAGTGGGTAGAGCACCCCTGGGGCACTGTTGGGTAGTGGCAGAGAACTTCAGTGGAGGCTTGTCTAATGGTGTAAAGACTGTAGAAGTTCAGAGAACGCAGAGCTCAGGGCAGGCACTCATACCTGGTGCATGAGAATTGCCATCTTGAATCAGCCCTGTGCACCAGGCAACTCAGAGGCCTATCTTTGACACTTGGCACCTTCTTCCAGGTCTTGGAGGGTGGGCCCCGCTTTGACCATAGGAATTGAGGGTTGAGCAGCCATTAATTAAAGTATAGATAGCAAGCAGCTGCTCAGGGTGGTGAGTGCCAATGCTGACAAGGCCCGAGAGGTCAGAAGTACCAGGGCATTGAAGGCCAAGACTCAGGCTAGGTGATAGGAGCCTTGGGACCATGAAGGACCTGGGAGGTCATCTCGTCTGACCCCCACTTTTCGCCCAGTTTGATTGGGTGGCCTCGAGGAGTCAGGAAGACCTGAGGTGACATCCTGCCTCAGGACTTACCAGCTGTGTGAGCCAGGCGAGTCACTTAACCTCTCTGCCTCGGTGTCTTCCTCTGTAAAATGGGAATAATCATACTAGCCCATACTTGCCGGGGTAGTTATGAGGATCACGAGGGGACATGGGCAGATGACATGGGGACACTCGAGCCAGTGCTCGCCATTATCATTACTAGTATTGTTCGAAGCTCCCAAGGTCCCATAGGTCCAGTGACTCATACAGCACTGCCTCCCTCAGAGGCTGTCCTCACCGAGCCTGCTGCTGCCCACCAGGCTGCCCTGTGGAAGGCTCTGGGCTGTGCCCTGACCCCTTCCTCCTGACTTTGGTCCCCAAGCCATTGATGCTCCCCCAGTGTACGGGTCTCCTTCCTTCCCTTTCCCAGGCCCAGCAGGCTTTCTGAGGGGGGATGCAGAACACCAGCACCTACTGAGTGGAGGGCCCCACTGTTCCCCGCCATTAGCCCTCACACTCCACCACCGGCTGTTGCCTGTCCCTCGGCCCAGAGTACACTAAATGATCTGTTTGACCCCATGTGGCTAAGCCGTGAAGTGGTCATGATGCCTGTTTTGTGCAGAAGGAAAGTGAGGCTCAGAGGACTTGCAGGGCTGCCCAGGGTCAAACAGCTGATCCATGTCTGAGGCAGGGTTGGCACTGAGGTCTCTCCTGCCCAACAACACACACTTCCAGAGGAAAGCAGTTTTATTAAAATAGTCATTTCTCTATAGTGAGCACATCTTTAAAAATAGGGAAAACTTCTTTCCTCTGCCTCCACTGGCCTCACTGCGATGGCATGGCAGTGACCCAGGACTTGGAGGCATCTATGTGGATAGAGCCCTGGAGTCAGGAAGACATGATTTCAAATCCACCCTCAGTCATGTGCTAGCCAGTGTCCCCAGCAAGTCACCTGACTTCTGTCTGCCTCAATTTCTTGAACTCTAAAATGGTAGCATAGCACCTCCCTGGCAGGGCTGTTGTGACAATCAAATGAGCAAAGCACTTAGCCCAGTGCCTGGCATATAGTAGGTGCTTAATCAAGGCTTGAGTCCTGCCATGGTTACTCTCCCCCTGCCCCCCAATAAGAGCCTGAGAGCTTCTTGAAAGCCAGAAAAGCCTAGGCTGCAGTGTCACCGGGAGATTGGGTTTCTCTTGGCCGAGCACATGCCGGAGGCAGGGCGGGTTCTCCTCTCCAGAAGATAGCCATCCTGCCTGCCCCCACATGCACGGAGGGAGGGTTTGAGAGAGGTCACCCACACCTATGTCAAACTTGCTTCAGCAGCAGTGTTGAAACCATGTCTCAGAGGCAAAGCCTTCCTCGACAGAGGGCTCCTCTAATAACGCGCCCCTCTCTTCTCTCTGTAGGGGACCCTGACATGCTCTGCAGGGACGTTCCTCTCCCACTTCTCAGTCCTTGGTCGTGTCCCTCTGGCCTGTCTTGGCTTCTCCACTTTTAACTCCTTGGAGCCGTTCCAAGGGGCGGCTTCTGGTAGTTGTGGCTTCTCTGCTTTTGATGAATTCTTTCAGCCTGAAGAATCGTGATTGACACTCCCGTGTGTGTTCCCCATTGGTGACTTGTCCGAGGACACTGACTGCTCACCATTCGTTTAGTCTCCTGCTCGCTTTCCGGTCTGAGAGATGCAGTGGTTCCTTCCACTCCTGAACCGATGCTAGACAACTTCCCCGGGGACCCTCGAGTTGATGCAGTAGTTTCCATTTCCCTGACTTGGCTTCAGTCACTGGCATCTTGTTTTATCCTGTTGTATTGGAGGGAGAGCTAGATTAGGACTGTTCAGGGCACTTTACGTCAGTGACACCCCCTCGTTTGCACTTCGACTTTGAACCGTAACTGTTTACCCCAAGCAGGAATCATTGAAATCGATCTTAATTAGAAGTCAACAGGCCTAGCAAGTGTGTCTTTTACCTTCATCCCAGGGATGCCCTTGGCCACCATTTTACTAGACCCAGCATGGATGGGGGGCTGATTTCTTCAAGCTCCTAGGAAATTAGGATTCTGTTCCAAAGGCTGGAGCTGGCCACGGTGTGTTTGTGCTGGTGTCCCACAGCTCCCTGTCCCATTGCTCCGGGCCCTTCCAAAGCTCATGTTATATGCAGTAGTGAGTGTTTACAAAATGTATGCAAAAAGACCCCATCCCTAACCCCCCACCCCTACCCCCTGGGGGCAGCTGGCTGCCATGGATCACAGCCTGAGAGTTGAGTGGATGTGGACTCCTGCCCTCCAGGGAGGGAGCTCAGTGTGTGCGGGAGGCCGAAGGTCTGATCTTGGGGTAGGAGCAGAGGGAGGGGCGCCTGTGCCCCAAGCAAGGAGGTGCCACTCTTCCTGCTCCTGTAGCATGCCTGCCTCACCTGCTCGCTCCTGACCCACCCTCCCACTGTGCCTGGGCAAAACCCAGCACCAGAGTCCTCCGTCCACGGTGATGGCCAAGAGCTTCCTCCTGAGGCCGTGGCCGCAGAATCTCCCCGGTGTCCCAGCCCATGCCGGGCCTCCTCCCTTCTCCCTCCGCTGCTCTCCTCTCCGTGGTGAGAAACCTGCCTTGTTCCAGATAATGACCGTGCCCTCGCATGACTGTCACTGCTTTCTGTGCACAGACGACTGTCTTAAGCCCCATGCCTATTGATGGAGACAGAAAATCTCTCGTTACCTCTGAGTTGTTTTCCAGCAAGTACCTTCGGAGAAAGAATTCTGTTTTTAGCTTCTTGTTCCCCTGCTTTCCTCTTCCTTGTTTGATTTGGGCAGCAATGGAGAATGGATTCTATAAAAGACTGCCTGCTAATATGAACAGAAATGCACTTGTAATTCATGGAAATAAATTTAAGTCTGATATCTTCACACTAACGTTAAGGTTTAGTTTTGCTTTTCTCTGGGCTAGTGTGTTCGGATGGGCAGTCAGGCTCAGCTGGCATCCCTGGGCAGAGCGCTTACCTGCCTCGGGTGGTCAGTGAAGGTAACCTTTGTACAAAGCTCTGCCCAGTCTCTTACGACTCCAGTGTGCAGGGAGCACGTGGCCTCAGTTTTCCTGATTCCTATGCCAGGTATTAGAGATGTAGTAGGAAAAATATTGTGGCCAAGAACTGTTCTTTGGAAGTACTCTTGGGTGGGAGGCTGTGATCCTGCAGGATTTCCATTCCCCTGCCCTTTCTAGAGGGCTGCTGCCACACTGGCGAGCTCTCCAGGCCTCACCCTCGGCTCTGTTGGCAAAGCCAAGTTGGGTCTCTGGGGTCACAGACGCTGGGCTTTTCATTTGACTTTCACCTCCACACTTGTGCTTCTCCCGGGAGTTTCTAGAATCAGTCTGGAATCAGGTGTAGACATGGAACTGTCCTCATTTTTCATTTTGTAAGGAGTGTGCATGGCTTCGTTTCCTCTACTCCTCTTTGCTTTTCAGATGCATTTATCTAGAAATATAGATTTAGAACTGGAAGATTTAGGCCAACTCCCCCCCCCCTTTTTTTTTTAACAGGTGAAGAAACTTGAGGCCTGTAGAGTTCAGATGACTTTTCCAAGGTCGCACATGTAGTAAGCAGAGTCTGGGTTTGAACCTGGGTTTTCTGCCTCCAGATTCAGCACTTTTCCTCTGGACCATGCTGCCTCCCTTGTGTTTGTATTAAAAGATTGGTCTTCAGATCCTCCTTGAAACCACAGCCTTGGTGTATCACTAATCTGGTGCTCTGGGCAGCCTGCTAAGATGGCACCCAGACCTTTGGCCACGAGTTTGTAGTCACTCTTGGCATTGGGCATGCCAACAGAAATCCCATTAGAAACGTGCTAACCCACGACACCAGATATGCAATGACATAACCGAACTGCTTGAGCTTTGGCTCTGAGCCCTCAGAGCGATTTAGGGGGAGGTTCCCCAAAAAGGCTTTTAGCAGCTGAGCATGTGCACCTGGAATCACAGACCTTTAATGCTCGAAGGGGCCTTAGAGATCACCTAGTTCAGCTCACCCATTTTATAGGAGATGAAACTGAGACCCAGATGAGTCTTGAGTGGCCATCCTCAATGAAAAAACACACTGCCCGCCATTTGTTCCACATCACATTTAGACCATTTCAGAGCAGCTATTAAGTTTGAGCTCTTTTTCTTATGTTGATATAATTTTTAAAGAAATTGGTAACTTTTGTAGTCTGTAGTATGGTACTAGTATGTCCATGCCTGCATCTGCAAACGCACGTGATCTGGGCCCTTGCGAAGTACTTTTATATTTGTAAATCAATGTTTCCGAGTAATCCCCACTTGGTGGGAAATATTTTTGTAAATGCAGCCATTAAAAAAAAAAACTATTGAGCAGTCCTTCTGCTGATACTTTTCAATGCACTTGGGCTTCTAAACGGCTGTGCCGCTGTTGGAAAAGCAGTGCCGTCAAGATGGCGGCCGAGAGAGAGTCCGGCCAGCCCAGAGCAGCACGTGAGAAAGCGTGGCCGTCCCAAGCCACTGGCCGTGACTCGCGCCTGCGTGGCCGTCCGTGGCCCGTGCTGTCTTCCCTTCCTGGGGCTGGTTCCGTGTAGGGCACTCGCCGAATGCGTCCCAGAAAAAAACGGCTTCGTTTGTACCTGCTTTGTCTTGTCGGTGCCTTTTTAGTATTGTACCCCTAACCTCTGCATAAGTGACTTAATTGATGGTAAGTTTTAAAGAAACATGGAAAAGGGAGATTTTTATTAAGAATCTGAATGTATATTCTTCATTGTATTGTTTTAACTGAACATTCTCTCGTGGCATTTGTGAGCTGGTCAATCTGTATAAAACGATTGTAAGTAGCAAAGGTTTCTATTCCCAGTGGACCCTTTGGATGTTGTACCCGTACCTTTGGGAAAAACCAACCAACCAACAACCTGATTCACTGAGTGTTTACTGCTTTTGACATCCAATCATTAAATTGTGGCCCTGTCTTACCCAGACACCGTTGTCGTCTGTGTGTGTGCGTGTGCGTAGAAAGACGGGGGAGGGGCTGCTTTGGTAGGTCCGTCGCCACCCCCCACCCCCTCATTCCACACTTCCTCAGACCGACAGGATCCCAAAAAGAGAGTTGACAGGCTGTCACATTGGGTCGACTCCTAGAAAATGAAATTGGATAGGGATAAGGTCAGTTGGCATACTCTTGGCTCCAGTCACTTTATTAGGATACCATGGGGAGCCACCACACCTAGGAAAGAGAGAGAGAGCACAGTGTAGTCCAAGGTCTGTGTGCATCTGCGATGTCCGTGGAAGCCAAAGAAGCAGAGGCGGCCCCTTTGACCTGAAGGACGGTCCTGGGTAGCCGATCACTTGATGAGTAGTGTCTTGGGGAGGCACATGAAGGGTCTCCGTCGTGCCCTGTGACACCATGAAAATGGAGGGCCTGAGGATAGCTAGTGTGGAGGAGGGAAGGTGTTAGGTTCCTTGCTCTGCACTTACCGGAGGGGACCTCAGAGTCCACCCAGGCCAACCCCTCAAAAGTGAAGGACCCAGCTCAACAACACCGAGGTAAGTGGCAGAGGTGGGTTTGGAACCCAGGTCCTTGGACCCCCCACAAGGGACGCCTCCAGGAAGCAGGGGGTCAGCTCCAAATCTGTGATCGTGTGGTCCTCCCCCCCCCCCAAGGGTATAGAGGGGACCTGGTCAGGTCCATTCCTGAGGGTCTCTGCAAGGGACAGAATCTGAAACTTAATCTGACAGTAATCGATAGATGCTTGTTTGCCTTACAGAAATTTGACAAGAAGTTCTTAAGGAAAGGAGAGTGAAAGTGGAAATCCAGGTTACCATCCTCACTTCTGTTACTTTGAGCGACATTAGCTGACACGGAAAGTGCTACAGGGCGCTTGAAAGCACAGGATCCAGGGCCATCTTCACAGAGGACCTTTGGGAGGAGAGGATTAGGAAGCTTGCCCAGCTCGTTGAAGAGCCATTAGATTAGAGACACATTAGCTAGCCTGACAGCAGACGAGGTTCAGAAGGAGAACCTCTGCAGTGTGCTAAACCGGAATGAGGCCTGGGGCCCATCTGGGTCTGCCTCGATTTCCCTGTCTTCTCCACGTGACATGACTTGATGGGAGCTCCTGGTTTTCTAATCTTCTGAGGTTTGCACGTCCCCTGAGGTCCAGAGCCCAAGGCTTTGAACACGCCACTCACCGCGTGATTGGGGGCTGGTTTGCTTAACCCAGCCAAGCTTCCATTTGCCCATCTCTCAAAAAAGAATTCTGTTTCCCCCGCTGAGGGTCGTGAGCGTCAGGATCTCAGGGATCCGGGCATTCCTGACGACATCTCGCAGCCGTCCTCCATTTTTGGAAACACCAAGGAAGGGAGAAGGCATTACCTCTTGAGATAGCCCATTTCCCTCCTTAGCTTGTGTCCATCCAAGGTTAGGAGACTTCTCCCAGGGGGTTCTGGATGGGTAGACGATCTCCTTGCATGATTGCGCCCTTCATTGTTTCAGATCACAACCCATCTGGGCTTTCTGAGCGCCGCTCTTCCGTAGAGAAGGCCAGCCCCAGTCTAGCCCTGGGCCTGTCTTTGTTTTATCCTTCAGTCTCCCTACACACCTGCCCCACGTCCTTTTGGCTCCCGTGTGTGTTTTTAATGTCCGTCTGCAGTCGTGCCGCGGTCTATTCAATTGCTAGACGCGTGCCAAGCGCTGTACTAAGTGCTGGGAATACAAGAAGAGGGAAGAGACGGGCCCTGCCCTTGAGGAGTTTATAGTCTGGATCCTTCCAGATAGAGATCGGTGAGCCGTACAGTCAGACTGGAGACCACTAGTGTCTTGAGGAAATGCCCCCCTCCCTTTGTCGCCTTGACCTTTTGCTCCCTCTTCCTGGCTCCCACCACAGATACAACAGAGCAGCCTGGGTAAGGGACCTCCGGGTCTGATGCGATACCTAAACATTCTGACCCTGGAGTTTCTTTACCTTCTGTGCGTTCGGAAGGTGAATTATTAACTCAAACAGCAGCTGAAATCCAGTACCTCATTGCAATAAAGTGCTCTGCTAAGCCTCGCCTTTTCCAAAGTCCCCTCCTCGGAGCCAAAGATATGAGCCCTGACACCAGGGCAGATGCCAAGAGACGCAGTCATAACCGGGTATGCTTTGGGGCAAAGAGGCCACCCCGGGAACGCCCATTTCTGTACTGCTTTAGGTTGTAGGGACGCTTTCCTCTCAAGGATCCAGTGAGGTAGGATCTCTTTTGTACGTGTGCCCAAAGGCGAGGAGAGGTAGCCCTTGAGGTGAGTTTTGAAAGAAGCTAAACTGGGGTGAGGAAGTGTGAAGGCCAGGGATGGAGGGACCTGTGCAAGGACACCGGGGAACAGCAGGGAGGTCAGTCTGGCAGCAGCATTTCGCATGTGAAAGAGTAGGGAATAAGGTGATGAGCCCAGGGAAGTTGGCTGGAGGAAAGGGCTTTAAAAGCCAGGTGGGCAAGTCATCATATTATGCACATGCCAGGCATCCTGCTGAGTACTGAGAATGCAAAGAAAGGCAAAGATAAGCCCCTGCCCTAGGAGCTTAGTCAAATGGGGCAAGCAAGTATGAGCAGGATTGACTGAATGTGCTCCCAGAGGAAAGTCGGTGGCATTGACGAGGTCTCGGAAAGGCCTCTGGGAGAAGGGATTTGTGCTGACTTCAGGGAGACCAGGAGATGGAAGGGAAGGAAGAGACTGCAGGCATGGCAGATGGTCAGTGAAAAGACATGGAGTTGAGAGACAGGCCAGTGTCATGGGGTCATGGAGTAGAGCATAAGGAGACTGAAAGGTAGGAAAGGTTCTCATTATGAAGGGCTTTAAAAGCCAGTTGGAGGATTTTCTATCCTACCCTGAGGGCAGTAGGGAATCACTGGAGTTCATTGAATGGGATTTGGGTAGGCGGGTTCACATGATCACTTTGGCAGCTGAGTGGAGGAGAACTGAGGCAAGAATGCCAACCAGAAGCTAATATGATAGGGTAGGTGTGAGGTGAGGGCCCACTCCAGGATGGTGGCAGTGTCAGAGGACAGAAGTGGCCATATACAAAAGATGCTGAAAAGGTAAGGTCAATTTGATTTGGCCAGAGATTGGCCATGGAGGGTGAGGGAGGAGTTGATGGTGACCCTAGTTTGAAAGCCTGGGTGATAGAGGATGATGGTGCCCTTGACAGTAACAGAGAAGTTAGGAAGAGGGGAAAGGGTTTGGGGAAAAGGAGAGTTCAGTTTTGGACGTGTTAGATTTAAGATGTCTGGAATCTCCAGTTTTAGATATCCAATAGACAGTCGGAGATGTGGAAGTGGAGGTGAGGAGAGGGGTTAGGGCTGGATATATAGATCTGAGAGTCATCTGCATGGGGATAATTGAATCCTAGATAGCTGATGAAATTAAGAAATGAGATAGTAGAGGGGGAGAAGAAAAGAAGACCCAGGACGGAGTCTTGGGGGACACTCGTGGTTAGGAAGCATGACCTAAAGATCCAGCAAAGGAGACTGAGGAGGGGTCAGATAGATAGGAGTAAACAAGGACAGTGCCATATCATGAAACCTAAAGAGAAAGTTTCCAGAAGGTGAAGAACAGTATCAAAATCTGCAGAGGTCAAGAAGGAAGAGACTTGAGAAAAGACCCTGAGATTTGGTCATTAAGAGGTCATTGGTCACTTTGGACAGGATGGCTTCTGTCCAGTGGTGAGGGTGGAAGAGAGTGGGAGAAGAAAGAGTATAGGCACCTGTTGGAGATGGCGTCTACTAGACGCAGTAGGTGCCCACTGAAGCTTCTTCAGTGAGAGAGGGATGGTCGAATCTAGGCTTTAGGGGGGTCGTTTGGACACCTGTAGAGAATGGATCAGTGTGGGGAAAGGTAAATCAGGGAAGCCAATTGGCAGGTTAATGCAACTGTCCAAGTGAGAGGCAATAAGAGCCTCAGCTATGGCAGTCGTCATTTGTATGGAAGGGGCAGATGCAAGAAATACCATGGAAATAAGATCCACAGAATTTGACAACTGATTGGCTATGAGGACTGAGTGACAGGGAAGAGTCAAAGATGACTTCAGTTCTAACCTTGGTTACTAGAAGGTTTGAGGCACCCTCAGCAAACACGAGGGATTAGAGGAAAGACGTGAGTTCTATTTTGAACACGTTAAGTTTGGAAGACCTGTGGGATAGCCAGTTGGAAATGGCATACCCATTGCCTCCCCTTCCACCCCCAAGTGTCCAGTGCAGAGGGTGCTATTGGCCAGGCTTTAATCACCCAGCCTACCATTCAGACCTGTCCAACCTTTTCTTCCTCTTTGCTAAAGGAACTTTTTCCTCCCCGTCACAGAATGTTAGAGCTGGAGAATATTCTGTTACCAAGTTCACTTCTCTTAAAAACATGGAGATACTAAATCAGTGCTAATAAGAAAAGCTTTAGAGCGCCTCCTTCCTCCCTAAATACTGATAGCGGCCCCTGTTGACGTAGCAAGGAACTGGAAGCAAGGTAGAGGCTGTTGGGAGGAAAATCCTTCTTTTGGGCTTTCACCCTGGTAAACGAGGGGAAGCCCAGGACAACGAGCAGTAGAGGGAGTTTATTATAAGTGTGCCAAGGTAGGAGAACTCGGACAGACTGATCACTGGAGATCAGTGACGGATTCAAGGTGGGGCCAGCTCATAACTAGAGAAAGACGAGTCTATAGGTCAGCGCTGGTGAAAGAGGTTGGGTCCTTGCATCTTGGTTCCTCCCCAAGGGAGCAGGAACATGACAGTTTGCAGGTAGGATTCAGACAGTCACAGGTAGGGGGTATGTGTTACTGCAGAAAGCTGCGGCCAGTGTTGGCTCCCCCAACACTGATGGACCAGAGGCTGGGAACAGTGGGTCACCGCGTCAACATAACTCAGTGCTGCCCATCGGTGGCAGAAGGGCTGAACACCTTGTGGTACATGAATGTAAATGAATGTTACTGCTGACCATGAAGAGTACAGAAATGAATGGGAA